TTAAGCAATTTATGTTGTGTGGTAAAATCAAGTGTGATATTGTTCTTTTAACGCAGATACTGTATTATTTTAGTCTGAATTTCTTATATAAGTTATGCTAAGACCATAAATGAATCACAAAGACAAGACATTAAATAGGATATTAAAAGGTATAGTGTAGGATGTTATAAAAATTGGAACTTTTTAATAGTAGACGTGGCTACAGGACAACGTATGTTGGGTCATCTAGTATATATATATATATATATATATATATATACATACATATATCTTATATATAAAAATGGAGCTCTCGATCAAATGATTCGGTAAAACTTGAAAACGACTAAACCGATTTGGCCAGTCTTGAAAAATTCGTGCCAATCCAGAGAAAGTCCAAAAGGTGAGAAATTATTTCAAATCCGCGTAGAAACTTTACATTTTTAATTTGAAAATTTTTGGTAAACAGCACTTGATTCACAATGGCTTCCCACACAATATTATTCAAATGACAGATGTATCGCCTAATCATATGTCAAATGGTTTTACAAGTTAAAACCGATTATGTATTATTCTTTTAATTTTAAAATTTAATTATTTATATATTTTTAAATGTTAATAAGAATGCCTATTTTGATTTCATATGAGGTTTTTATTTAAATCTCAAGTTCATCGAAGGGGACACCATAGACATTTCTGTTTAATCACTTATTGCAAGTTATAATAGACAGCGATATGAATAAGAAAATTGGATTATAACACAGATAGTAATTTTAGAAATCATATTCATAAAAATCTTAATAATGTGTACATACAAGTACAAGATCTTCGGAAACAAAGTTGTTTGAAAATTGCTTATAAAGCTCACATTATGTTATGTGACATCTGCATAAGTACTGTTTAATTAGATAAGGAAGTAATCATTTCAAATATATATAGTACAATCTATTTACAATACAAATTTTTCATTACAAAACTATAATGAGTTTTGTAGTTATATGGTCCATGACATTTATATTTTTAGGGTTTGACAAATGTCACAGTTTACAGAAGAATGGAAAGTATCAGCAGCACGAACTTGCGTTATATTACATAGGCATTCTATGCATAGAAAGAAGTTATTCCAGCATTCCAATTAACAATGAAAAAATTAAAAAAGTTAAACATATTCCACATGGTAATAATGAAATTTTTACAGATTTTTCCTTATGTTGTTCAGATACAAATGCTGTTATTGATTATCAATGTTATACGAAGTTCACCGGGTCAGCTACTATATATATATATATATATATATATATATAATTATCGATAATTAATTACCATCGATCCATTTCCATGGGGTCTCTTTTCCCTCTACAGGTGTACTGGGGCACTTGTTGTTCGGTCTGTCGGTTCGTCGTCGGTTGTTCGTCGGTCGTCACGGTCCGACGGTTTGTGCGAATAAAATAGAATAGAATAGAATTGTATAGAAGTGAAACAGTCAGTGGATTCACTGCCCGAACTAAATGTCATGGGAGAAAAGACCCCAAACTCGAAAATAAAAACAATCGCCGCGGCCGACATTGTAATACACTCGAAAGCCATGGGCGTACGAGGAAAAACATCGTAAAAATCATAACGCAAACAAGAAACTCGTAGCAAAAATCTAGGGAATGCAATACCGATAGAAAATTTCAATACCGATATTTCGGTAATTTTTCATTTTAAAACCGGAATACCGGTAAATTATCGGTATTTTTATTATCTTAAATAAACGTAAACAAAATTGAAAGTTACTAGTACAAATATAAAAAATGTATATACAACTACAACTATATTCAACTAAACAATAAAATAAAACAATAAGTTTATTTTTTTAAATAATAATTTAACAAAAGTATATGCAATTTTATTAATTCATTATCACTATCATTGAGTACTTTTCACCAAAAACAAACTTATGAGTAAGAAAGACCAAAAACTCAAAAAAGATCATATTACATTATTATAATAAACTGTATTGTCTGTTCCGATGTGTTAATTTAGCATAATCTCCAAAATTAAAAAAAAAAAATTCTACACTAATTTAAGATCAGATTCTTTTTCGAGATAAATAATAAGTTACTATAATTGTTGAGTATTGTTATTTAAAACAATGTGATGCTTCTATAGTATTTTCAAACTTCAAAACGTTTTCAAAAAATAATGTTTTATAATTGTAATAAGAAGCAAAAATATTTAGTAATTATCATAATTATTATATATAAAGTTAAAAAAAAAAAGATTACGCAGAGGTAATATGTATGATATAAAATATTTTGGCGCAAATATTACCGTTACATTTTTACATAAGATGAAACAATCAACATCATTATCTATCAGTCCAATTCTATTTATTGTAACACGATATGAAGCCCTTAGCAAAGCAATAAATATTCATTTTAATGACGAGTTGAGATAATATTTGACATTTGTTTATCCTATAGAATCACTTGAAGATATAGCTGTTTATGCGATTATGGAATTTGAAGATAAATGTGTTCCGAGTAATTTAAACTTTAGTGTAATATGTATCAAAGAGCGCTAATGTAAAAATACCAAAAATACCGGTATTTTTGAGGTAAATACCGGTAAAAATACCGCCGAAAAATCGGGCGGTTTACCGGTAATTCGGTATACAAAAATCTAACGAATCTCCAAAAAATGGGCACAATTTCTTAAACTTTGGCAAATATCTTGTATAATTATTTGAAAACCTGCTAAATCATATATATTATTGGAAAGCTTATTAAATTATCTTTTCATCTATGTATACAAAAGTACAGCACTCTATTACAAAATATAGCGAAAAACTTACTTAAACTTGAAACATTGTAGGAAACAATTTTAACCCCGAAACTTTACTGGTACATTTTTTTAAACTTGGGTAATTAACTTGTAAAATTATCTATCTATCTATTAAATATATCTATTATCATTTAAACTATATATACAAAAATATAGCATTCTATTACATAATATTGCAAAACAGCTAACCAAACATGAAACTTGTAGCAAAATTTTAACGAAACCCCAAAAAATGAGCAAAAATTCTTAAACTTCGGAAAATATCTTATAAAATTGTTTGAAAACCTGCTAAAATTATATATATATTTATATTTATATATATATATATATATATATCATTGGAAAGCTTATAAAATTATCTTTTCATCAATGCAAGTAAAAGCATAGCATTCTTTAGCAAAATTTGGTGAAAACATTCGTATTAACATACAGCTTCAACTTACATACTGTAAAAATGTCATACATTTGCTGTGCATTCAGGTATTTCACACATAAATTGCAACGCCACTCGTATGTTATGAAGCTGAGTCAGAAACACCCTGTTATCTAACATCACTTTTTTGACATTTGTGTGGTTTTTGCGTTATGTTTTTTATCTGATAACCCTAGAAATACGTCTCACTGCATCACAACCGCATGGCTTTCGACCACTCTTGACTCTATATATGATTAATACAAATTTTGTTTTAACACGATTAATTCATTACATAAATTATGGAAAGAATTTTTGGTCCAGCAAGACGCTACCAAACTAAGTTAAACAAAACTCCACCAATATTTGTTTACAATGTCAATAAACCAGATATAGGGACTGATTCTGCCACGTAACTGTAAAACTTGCATACATTATGCTACTGAATCACATTGAATATTGTTAAAATATCATGCATTTGCTGTACATTAAGGCGTTTTACACATAAACTGCAACGTCACTCGTATGTTATGGAGCTGGGTCAGAAATACCCTGTTATCTAACATCGTTTTTATGACATTTGTGTGGTTTGTACATCCATTTTATCTTTAATTTTTTTCTACAGCAGTAATGGGCCAAATCTGTCGTAGACTAGGCCAATGTTATGGCAAGGCTATGTTACGCAGCATTTTTTATATAAAGTGGTAGTAAAAACAGTCAGAATGCTATGTAGTTGGTGTGCATGCAGGCGACACACATAAAATATTGCCTGAAAAATGCACAAACGCCAAAAAAAGAATCTTACCATAAGTGCACCTTTACGACGTGTCATAATAACACGAGCGAAAAGTTAGGTTTTAAGTGTGAAACACCTGACTGCATAGCATATATTTTGTCATTTTTAGTACCATTTTATATGAAAACAAGCAGCGTAACATATGGATGCATAACATTGGTCTATTTTATGCCCATAAATTTCGAAACCATATCATAGAATCCACATCTCTAATCTTTACAGAGTCAAAATCCAAATGTAGCATTTTTAAAATATTCCGTGTATTCAATAATTGCAAATTCAAAATGAGCAATAATTAAAACCCAATGAAAATGTTCAATGAATTTAAAAAATCCAGACGTGGAAATAAAAAAAAAAATAAAATGCTTTGTTATTTTAAAAAATTAAAATGTGCAAGGTTTTAATCCTTCTCACTCGGATGCCGCCGCTCTGGCGGCAACATTCATATAGATGTCGGAATTAGCGAGTGGAAAGGGTTAATTGATACCATTCTATCAGAATGGTACATTTGAAATAAAAAATGGAAATAACTTTTAATATATTATTTAACTATCCAAGAAGATTGAAAAGAAAAGCGCCACTGGATTTAAGCCAACAACTCTCCTGATAAAAAAATGGAAATGACTTAATCATTACTGATAAGGAATTATTTAATAAGTAAATAGTTAACAATAAATTATTGTGTATTTTATATCGAATGGAAAAACAACTACTGAGTTGTTTTTTACAACATGCCATTGTAGTATACAATGTTCCTTTTCGGCTGACTATTGTAAATTCATCGAATTTATTGAATGTCCTTTACTGGACAGTTGTAAATAAAAGAGATAATAAAAAAAATATTTAGGGGTTAGTTATCTGTATTTATTTTTACAAAACTTGCCTTAAGGATTAAATTCTTCTGACCTTCTACATATAATTTTTTTATTTTTCAGATATCGATGACTACGCCAATGTGTTTTTACGCAATACAGGAAAAATGTACTCAGACTATAAGTAGTGTGAATTTATATACTGCGACTACGACTGATGGTATGCTCTGGTAAGTCAAGTACATACATACATTTCGTTTTTACCATTTGAATGTTATTTTTCGATAAACATGAAACCATAACTATGACTCAGTAAAGAAAATGTTGTCCTTTCAAAAACCAATTCGGAAAAATGCGAGCGCCATTTCCCAAATTTATAACACACTTTCGAATATTTGAAATTCACTTTTCACATTTTCCCAAACTTTCGAAAAAAGAATCCAGGAGGGAACCTGGATTTATTAATATTATCCTGAACTGGATTATTCATTTAAAAAATAAACTTTGAATAATTATTTCTAACAAAAAGTGTTGTAAAATAACACTAGTTTAGGTTTTTCGACAGTGCGTTAATTGGCGTTTAATAATAAAAAAAATTATCAGGGACCAATTCTCCGATAAAATAAAAATGCTATGGTAATGTTATGTTAAGGGTCTATATTTATATCAGTTGGTAGTGACAAACTGTGAATAATCTACATATTTGCTGTGCGATCAGACGTTTTACACATAAAACCTAACCTCCAAAACGCACTCCAAACAATTTTATAATAAGTGCAACTTTCTGATAAGGCATACGTGAAGTTAGGTTTAGTGTGTAAAACGCCTGATAGCAAATACTTTCATAGCTTTTTGACAGTTTGTGACTATCAATTCATACGAAGATAAACCCGTAACATAGTGTTACCTAATTATTACTAAAAATTATATAATTAAAATACAGTATCTTAAATCAAAACTTCTAGAATTCAAATTAAAAAATCAGACTCAGAATGCTCAATATTTTCCAACAAACGTAAATTTTCAATAATGAGAAAAATGTGTATTATAATATTTATTTACTAAATATTTATTATAATATTTATTCACTATTAGGTTCAGATTGTTCGATATTTTAAAAAAAAGTAGATTCCTTAATTAGAATATAATCTAATTCACTATTTTCAATAATTTACGAAAACTGTAAATTTTCAACAATTTGTTAGAAAAAAATCGGTTTCAGAATGTTCAATAATTTTAAAAAAATCTAATTTTTTTACAAAAAGAAAAATATCAGGGTCAGAATGATTTAAAAAAGATAGTTTCAATAAATAGAAAAAATTGAGTATGTTCAATAATTTACAAAAAATCTAAGATTCAATAATTAGAAATAAATAGGATCGGAAAATTCAATGGATCTAAATATATTGACAATTTTTAATAATTATAAAAATAAACAAGTTTAGAATGTTTAATAATTTAAAAAAATGTGAATTTTTAATAACTGCTTCAGAATATTCAATAATTTCAAAAGTTGTCAAAAAATGACAATTTTCAATAATAAAAAAAAAATCGGTTTCAGATTTGACAAGAATTTAGACAAAAAACAGTTTCAGAATGTTCAATAATTTACAAAAAATTTCCATTTTCAATAATAAGCAAAAAATCAGTTTTTGAATGTTCAATAATTTACGAAAAATGTAAATTTTTAACAATTAGAAAAAAATCGGGTTTAGATTGTTCAATAATTTAAAAAAATAGTTTCAAAAAGTAGAAAAAATCGAGAATGTTCAATAATTTACAAGAAATCTAAAATTCAATACTTAGAAAAAAAATCAGGTTCAGAGAGTTCAATAATTTCCAAAAAAATGTAAATGCAAAAACTTTCTAAGTCCAAAAACGACAATTTTCAATCATTTGAAATAAAACAAGGTTCAGAATGTTCAATAATTTTCAAAACATCTAAATTATCAACGTCAGCAAAAAATCAGTTTTAGGAAGATCAATAATTTAACAAAAAATATAAAATTCCAATAATTAGCAAAAAAATTGAGTTCAAAATTACAAAATTCAAGTTTTCAGAAAAAAAAATCCAAATTTTCAAAAAAAAATCAAGTTTTCAAAAAAAAAATCCAATCTACAAAAAATCTAAAATTTGATAATTAGAAAATAATCAGGTTCAGGAGGTTTAATAATTAAAACAAAACGAAATTTCTAACAACTGCTTCAGAATGCTATAATTTTCAAATAATGTAAATTTTTAATAATTCTCAAAAAAAGGGTTCAGATGGTTCAATCATTACCAAAATAAGTATATTTTTAATAATTAGAAAAAAAATCAGGTTCAGAATGTTCAGATAATTTCCAAAAAATGTTAATGCTCAATAAATAGAAAAAAAATCAGGTTAAGCAGGTTCAAAAATTTCCAAAAAATTTAAATTTTCACCAATTAGAAAAAAAATCACTTACAGAATGTTCAATAATTTAAAAAAAGAATTTCAAAAATTAGTAAAAAAGCATATTCAAAATGTTCAAAAAATTACAAAAAATGTAACTCTTCAATAACTTTCTTTCAGATTGTTCAATAATTTTCAAAAAATGTAAATGTTCAATAATTAGGAAAAAATAGGTTGAGAATAATTTAAAAAAAATATAATTTTTTAATAGAATACAAAACGTTCTCATATTTGGAAAACATCTAAAAATGCAATAACAAAAAAAAATCTACATTATCAAAACTATCAGCCCTGACCAAGAAGTAGGGCTTGTCTTGCAAAAATACGGGTACTCGGATCGAATCCTGGTCGAGTACTAAAGCAAAATTTACTAGTCGTTTGTAGCATTTTGCCAAAAAATTGTTTTCACTTTTTCATAGACTAACAAATTATTATTTAACAATATTTGTGATAATATAATGATAATATAGTCCACAGTCCACACCGATGTGAATAGAATGGTGTTATTGGTTTGTCGATCGTCAAAAAACGACTTTGAAAAAGGGGGCCACTTTTACATGTTTTCAATGCTACGGATTTGAAATTTGGTATGTCGAATTTTCTCGAAAATACCTATAAAATGGCATCAAAATCATTCAAATACCAGGGTGGGGCAAATTCTGTATGGAAACTCGATCAGACCCTTTCTCATTCACTTGTGAGGAAACAAAATTAGCAAATCGGATTTTCTGGTTAAATCAGACAATAATGAAAAATAAATAAAAAACTGAGAAATATTTGATTATAATTACATTATATTAAATCAAATTATTTTATAATTCAAAAAAATCACAGAAGACTTTGTTCTAAAATCTAAAACATTCACTGGCAAATGACAATTGGCAACAAATCCATCAAACCACAAACGTACCAAACATACCAAACATACCAAACACAATTTACCAATTCACCAATATCCCTTAAGTTCCTCCAACATCATCATTCTTATAAACCAGTTCAAAATATACCCCACCATCCACCATCTCCTGTACAGACTTATAAACTTTGCCCGGTTGCGGCAATCCCAATCGAAACACGTTGACGACCTGCACCTTCGTTCGAATTTCCTTTCCCTGGGCGTCCAAGGGCCGTTGGTTCAGTATCAAGGGCAACTCCCGATGGCACTTCTCTTTCGGGATAATTGGCAGATGGAATTTCTGGAGCAGGCGGGAGACGCGGGCCATCGCTCCGTGGAGCAGGCCGAATTGCCTGAAACTTGGGGAGTGGTGTTGGAGGGCGCGTTGTTGGAGGAGGGTTGCGCGTTGTTGGAGTCTTCTGGCGGCTAAAGCAACTGAAAGGGAGGAAATTGTGAGAAGTAGTGGTTGGTGGTAGTTTGCCTTAAGGCAAGTTGCATAAAATTCTTGATACGTATACAAAATTAACGTGATCAATAAGAATCGAGATTCAACTTCAAGAATAAAATTCGTTCTTTCACTAGATCAATTGATGAATGAGATTTCCAATTAATGTTTTTTGATGTGTGTGTATATATGTGGATACAATTTTTGGTGATGATTTTGGGTGCACAGAGCGACCGATTCGAATGATTTGAATTGTGAGAATGATTGTTGTAGGTGCGGATAGTAGTTGTTGGTGGAATTTTGGCTTAAAGCAAATTGCATAAAATAAGAATCGAGATTCAGCTAAAACGTTCTTGCAAAAAATAAAATTCTGTTTTCACTAAAAATTGATCAATAAGATTTCCAATTGATGTCGTTCAAGCATACTCATAATGATGTGTGTTTATGTGTGTGTGTATGTGGATTTAATTTTTCGTCGGAAATTTCGGGCTCACGAATCAACCGATTTGAATGATTCGAAAAACATTCGACTTCTATTGATGGAAAGACAATGTTCCATGTTCTATATTCCATGTTTTTTTTTAAAAAATCGAGCCATTGTAAAATGATGCGAGTCTTCCCAAAAAAGTATTGCAAGTATTTCCAAAAAAATGTTGCAAGTTTTCAAATGAAATTTCGATTTTTCAACTTCCAAGTTTTTGAAAATAAAGTTTCAAGTTTTGAAAATAGAGTTTCAAGTTTCGAGAATAGAGTTTCAAGTTTTGAGAATAGAGTTTCGAGTTTTAAAAATAGAGTTTCAAGTTTTGAAAATAGAGTTTCGAGTTTTAAAAATAGAGTTTCAAGTTTTGAAAATAGAGTTTAAAGTTTTGAAAATAGAGTTTAAAGTTTTGAAAATAAAGTTTAAAGTTTTGAAAATAGAGTTTAAAGTTTTGAAAATAGAGTTTAAAGATTTGAAAATAGAGTTTCAAGTTTTGAAAATAGTTTCAAGTTTTGAAAATAGTTTCAAGTTTTCGAATTAAAAATTCCAAGTTTTTTTTTAAACAAAATTGCACGTTTTTAAAATAAAGTTTCAAGTTTTTGAATAAAAGTCTAAGTATTCCAAAAAGTCCATATTTCTTAATATTCAAATATTTAAATGTTTTGAAAATTTTCATAAATCTTCAAAAAAATTCAAAATTCTCAAAAAATATCTAATTTTTTGTGAGCTTTAATAAATTTTAAATAACAGTACGGGAAGTTCCAGCAATTTGCCTCAAAGCAAAATGCCATGCACTACTAGTTATTTCAAAATTTAATTTGTTTTAAATTTTCCAAAAAAAAAAAATTTTTTTGATTATTGAAATTGATTCGGATATTAATTTTAATTCTAGATAAATAAATTATAGAAATGTATTTTTTTTTAGATTGAAAATTCTAAAAATTACCCAGGCTAAACACGGTCTAAGTGACAACTTG